GACATCATCCTACAGCACTATAGACTCTATCTCATCTGGTCAATCCCCTCACTACGGTTCCTCGATTTTCAAAAAGTGCGACAAGTAGAACGAGAGCAGGCACAGGAGTTGTTTGGCTCAGCGGAAGCACCCACCGAGTTGGCTACGAAGATCAAGGGACTCAAGAGCCGGACATTCGACGCTTCGTCAAGCGGCGTCAATGGCAAGGCTCCCGCCGCCCAAAAGGGTGTCCGGACACGGTTGACCGAGTCGGAGAAAAAGAGAGTGGAAATGATGATTCAGAAAGCCAAAAGCTTCCAAGAGATCGAGAGAATTGAGAAAGATCTTGCAGAAGGCAGAATACCTGCTGGTGCAGCAGACGCCGACAGGATGGTCTCTTAGGGTCGGTGTTCTACATGGATCGCAAGGGCAATCAGAGTTGTGAAGTCCTACGAAGGACATTTGTACACTGGACAATGGGACACGGACATGGAGAATTGCTGTGGTGGCAGCGGTTTGCAACCAGCAGCTGCACACCCACAAAGGGGTCTATTTCTGTTGACCAAGGCGCAAACTGCAAAATCAACACAATCCAAACAAACCCCGAGACTGTTCATCTCTGCTATTCCAACAAGAACTTTAGAAATGCTTGACTGACGACCAACCCATCATGTGGTAGATTCACCTTGTTCATGTGTTCCTGATATGCCTTGTCGTCGAAAATACCTGTTGCATGTCGCGTGCTGATGATTTCTGTCATGATCTCCTGGTTGAATTCCGGATGGCCCTGTACGGTCAGCAGCCTTTTCGGTGAATACATGCCCTGGACCTTGCAAACAGGAGAAGATCCAAGGGCCTCGACGCCTTCCGGGTAGTAGAAAACACAGTCACGGTGCATTTGGTGGAGGCGCTGTTTAGCGATCGTGTCAGCAAGAAGGGGGAACCTGAACAGGGTCCGTGCAGGTCAAGGTTACACAACATACGATCTTATCGACACCAAAGACTTCCTTTCCCTTTTCCGATAGCTGGACATCGTTCACTGCTGCCTCCCAGCCCTGAGGATTCCGCCCGACCTCTGCCTTCAAAGCGCGGCCCACGATCTGGTGGCCGAAACACACGCCGATGACTCGAACCGTCGTCTCTGACAGGATCTTCGCCGTGTAGTCGACCAACTTGTTGATCCAAGGTGTGTCTGCAAAGGAATCGTGTCCTGTATTGATCCTCATACATCAGCGTCGGCCGTTCCTCCACTATTTACTTGCTGTTGGATCGCCGGGACCGCAGGAGAACCATTGCATCGAATCTTTCGTCTGAGCGTCCACATCCCAGTCCCTTCTCTCAACGGCTCCTCAACAGCAGCAGGACAAACAAAACTCACTGGAACCGGTGATCAAAATGGCGTCAATGGTTGCAGGATCGGGATACTGGTCTGGATTCAATTCGACCTGCCAGACGGAAAACTGGAGGCTGTCATCGGGGTCCAAGTCAGGTCGACCCAAGGCTCTGGCTCCTGATCGGAGCAAGAACTCAAACACACCACCATAACCATGGAACCTTTTCTTGGTCTCCGGCAGCGGGGTATCACATTCGAGGACTGCAATACGCAGGGTTCGAGGGACCTTCAGATTCATCTTCTCTCCTCCTCATCGGGCAAGCAGTGAGGGCCCGAGTCTGCAGACTGTATCTCAGCCAAAATCAAAGCAACAAGGTGTTCACCGCTGGCACCGCAGCAAGCGCCGTGAGAAGGGCGTCAGAGATATTTCCATTATCTAATCGCGGATATAGCAGCCACACTATTACAGCGTGTGGGCAGCCAAGTCGCGTCATTTGACTCTCGATATCGCCTCATTGCCTGCCGTTTTTACGCATCGCTCTTCTCCATCCTCTCTATCTTTGGCGCCTCTGATTGATAATGTGTTCTGGCTCTTATTGGCTGGAGGCGAATCTCGGCTGTCAAGTCGATGCAAGGGGCGTCAAGAGGCGCCGCGGGATGATCTTCTGCACAGTACCGGATCCGGCCTTCCCGTGGCGGATCTACACATTCGATGTGGTCAGCTCATTGCCATTCGCGGCTGCCCGTCTTGGAAAAGCCGCAGGCTCTTGTATTTCTGAGCATCAGAACATCAGAACATCGACAGGGTTTTGGCAAGAGCATACTGGCTCTGTTGTTGCAGGAAGAACTTGCCATGCGGGCAGAGATCATGGTTGCAACAAGATGGGTCATGGTCAGCATTCTATTATCCCAGGCCCTCGTTCGGCCGCACTTTAGCTCTCACTCAACAAGCGTTCTGTTGTTGCCCCTCAGCTTTATGAATCCATCCTGGCCACCAAGAACCTGCGGCTGAGGTTGTTTAATGACATCTGACGCAACGGCAAAACCGTTATATGCTGCCTATGAGGCCGTGACTGGCTTTCGTGCCCAACACTCCAGATCTGATCCTCGAAGAACCTCCCAGTGACCGCGCATAACCATGAAGAGCCACGACGAAAGACCGCAGATCGATACGACAGCAACGCCAGGCCCGTACATCGAAGCCGGTATCGAGGAGCGTACGGGTGCCCAGCCTACTGAAACAACAAGTTTGCTCGCCCATCGGAATCGCACAAGTCGCTCTGATGTTCACTATCGAGACTGCATCTCGGGCTCTCGGTTCCATTTTCTGTTCTGGAGCACAATTTTCGGTTGCTCGATTGCTTTTTTTGACACCACATTGATGGCTTCTTCCCACCCCGTCATTACTTCATACTTTGAAGCCTCCAATGCTGCTTCCTGGCTTAGCACTGTCTTTTATCTGACTTCGACGGTATTTCAGCCAGTGTACGGCCGTGTCTCGGACACGATCGGTCGGCGACCGGCGTTGCTGTTCGCCATTGTCATGTTCTTCGCCAGCACGCTATGGTGCGGTGCAGCTGGCAGTATTGGCAGTTTCATCGCCGCCAGAGCGGTAAGTGGACTGGGAGCCGGAGGAGTGATTGCCCTTGGAGGGATCTTGACCAGTGACATTGTCAAAATCGAGTACAGGGGGATTTATCAAAGTTATTTCAATTTGGTACGTTTCCCGGGCCTCAAGAGTGAAGTATCCTCCGCCACTTTTAATACCGCCGATTCCACACTGAATACCTGATGTCTCTTTCTGCTAACATGACTAAAATCAGTCGTACGGAGCAGGCAATGGACTGGGCGCCGCCTTGGGAGGCTTTCTCTGCGACTACTTCGGCTGGCGCGCTGCCTTCTTCTTGCAGCTGCCCTTTATCGCCGTTTATGGTATCCTCGCTATTTTTTCTTGCCCTGATAACCTGGGCCCAAATCTTGCAAAGACCCAAGGGAAGACACTGAGCCAAGCATTCAAAAGCTTCGACACTTATGGAATGTTTGGCATGATCCTCACGGTCTCCGGCCTCATCCTGGGGGTAAATCTGGGCGGGAACGTGTTCATCTGGACACACCCCTTTGTCATCAGCAGCCTGGTTATCTCTGCCATCGCAGGTGTCTCCTTGGTTTTTGCGGAGCGCAAAGCCGAACGTCCTATTCTCCCTCTCAGACTTTTCTCGACGATACCTATTGCGAATGTTATAGGCAGCAATTTTATTGCGTCCTTGATCTCCAATACGGTTTTGTTCAATGTTCCACTCTACCTCCAAGCCGTTCGACAGACTTCGCCAACGACTTCTGGTCTTTACCTGGTTCCTCCTCTAGTCGGCTCTAGCATCGCCGCCATGCTAACGGGACTTTACATTACCCTCAGACGACGCATGAAGCCGCCGATGGTGCTGGCTTCAATCATGGGACTCGGTGGCTCGATTGCTGTAACGTGCTTGTCAGCAAACACGCCTACCTCGCTTCTCCCCCTTCTCATTCCCGTCGTCTCGATCGGCCAAGGATTCTTTTTCCCAGCAGGAACGATTGCGGTCCTTGCCCTCAACTCCCAGGAGGACCAAGCTGTGGCCACGACCACACTCGGTCTTGTCCGCAACCTCGGCTCCATTATGGGCGTGGCCTTGAGTAGCTGGGTATTGCAGAATGCGCTGCCGATATACTTGAGCAGATACGTCACAGCACCAGACGCCGCGACCAAACGAGAGATCATTCGTACTGTGAGGGAATCCATCAATTCGATTCGCACTTTGGATCCCTTGCACAAGAGACAGGTCATTGATGCGTATGCGTCGAGCTTGAGAGCGACTTTTCTCTTGAGCATCATCTTCTCCATTCTATCTATTTTGCTCATTTGGCCTATCCAACTTCCCAGTTTGCAAACGCAAGAGGACATGGATAAAAATGAGACAGCTGTTTTTACTCCGGAATCGAGCGATGACTATGAAGAGGAAGAGGACGAAGCCGACGCGCGAGCGTTGCTGGCTACGCCGATCTACTCCATTGTACGAACTTTCACTGGCGGTACAAATCGGAGTACAAGATCAACATCTTTGGATGGGATTCTGGAAAGGAGAGCAAGTTTCGACACAAACTTGTAGGTGTTACAGCGGGCACAGATGGGCAGTGCCATGCAAGCCATCCTGGAGGAGACTACAAAACTGGTCAGGAAGAGAAACCGATGAAAGACACATCTGGCGACTCCTGCACGACTTGGGGCGGAATTGCGTATCGCCGCCAAGCGCAATTTCGACCCGACGCAGCTTGGAAGTAGAGGGTTGTCAGGGGGTCGTCTGTGGGATTGATATTGAGCAGGAGCTGTTTCCTGGCTTTGAACGAGCCAGCACGAGGCGAGATAGTCTGAACGATGCTGTCTATAACGATAGATGGACCCAAGTCTCTCGCGAAAATAGCTCCGGTATCTTTCTGACTACGGTTTGCTGTACTTTTCAGAAGATGCTCCGTGAACTCGGCCTGACGGCTTCGCCGTCGTTGGTGGTATGATATCCCCGTCTAAGAGCAAGTCCACCTTAGGATTGAGAAAAGGATGCTGTCATCGCAGAGCTGGTCACTCGTCACTCGTCAGCGGTCACTTATTTCCAATCCAATTGACATTGAACCAGGTGATCTGCGTGTCTGCTCAGTGCTAGCCCAGCGACTCCCCCGCGCGCTGGAACACGACCTTGAATTTCTCGGGCACGTCAAACTTGCCCATCCGCACGTCGACAAAGTGCAGGCCTCGACCTCGACAAAAGGCCTTGTCGGCGAGTAACTCGTCGAGGTGGCGCCAGGTCGAGACCTCGTAGGTGCGCACGGGGTAGGAATCACTCTCGTCATTTTCAACGGAGTCATCGCCATCCCTGTCGTCCATAGGCCCATCAGATGACGAACGTGACCGCACCACCGTCTTGGAGTTGGAGTTGGAGAGCTGTTCCCGTTCGTCGCTCGCGCCAAAAGCGCGTGCCAACTCCCCGTACCGCCACGGCGCCAGGTCGTTGTAGTCCTCATGCATGCCGTGGATCTGGCGCTCGTACGCGTACCCGGCGTTGTTGACCAGGAAGATGGTTGCGGGGATCCTGTAGCGGATCATGGTGCCCAGTTCCTGCACTGTGACTTGGAAGCCGCCGTCGCCGTCGAGGAGGATCGTGCGGCCGCGGGGGACCGGTGACTGTGTTGTTCGTGTTGGATTTCCGTGAGCATCCCGTTGGTGATGAAAACCATGTTGATGATGTGTATGCTGTCGAGCCAAACTCACACCCATGGTCAGTGGCAGCATGTGTCCGATCGAGAACCACTGGCCCGACGCGATGGTTTGGGCCCCCCTGGGCAGAACGAGATCCCGACCACCGAGGATCGGTGTCGCGTTTCCCAGCACCACGATGTCGTGCGGTCGAAGGTACGCGCTGAGCCGGAGGTAGAAGGACGTTTGGTCGATGGGGGCGTCGAGGTCAACACCCGCACCCGCATAGGCTGGCGGCTGGATTGTGCGGAAATCCCCCAGAGACGTGACGTCGGGCGACGCAACGGCCGCGCGATCAATTTGGCGGGTCAGCCGGGCGAGGAATCGTTCGAGATTGATGGATCCCTTCTTGGCCCCGGCGTCCGTGATTGGCCTGGGACCGGTAGGATCGTGGATCGAGTTCTTCTCCAGCGTAATCGTCCTGTCGGCCTCTGGGACGACCTTCCACGACAGCGTCTGCGTGTCGGAGAACATGGGCCCAAAGGCGATCACCAGGTCCGCGTCGCGCACGTACGGCATCGTGTCGATCTGCCCGACGGGGCCCGAGTGGACGCCGTAGTAGTTTGGGAGGGCGTGCTCGACCATGCCGTTGCCCGAGGGCATGCACAGCGTGGGGATCCCCGAGGCGTGGACAAAAGCGTTGATCGCACCGCGCAGTTGTCGCACGCCGCCGCCGCTGTCGACCAGCACCAGGGGCTGTTTGGCGCCGTAGATCTTTTGCAAGAGATGGTCGACGAGTTTCCTCTCGCGATTATTCTTCTTCTCCAACTCGTCGGTGTCGTCGCCAGCGGTCACGTCTTTCGTGGACAGTGACTCCTCGAGCAGTCTCTCCCCGTCGACCACTTCCTTGGACGCCATGTCCGCCGGAAGCTCGATGTACGCGGGCCTGCTCTCCCTCAGCGCGGCGAGGATGGTCCGATCAATCTGCGCAGGTGCGGTGGCTTCGTCGACAAGGTTCGCCTGCGCGACGGTGACGTGCCTGGCCATCTCGGCGAAGACCCTGGGCCGCCCGTCGCCGAGGGTGTGGTGGACGTTCCTCCTCTGGTCCTGCAGCCGGCGCTGGGGGGTCCCCACGATCGACACCACGGGGACGTGTTCGCTGAAGCTGCCCGCGACGGCGTTGATGGCGCTCAGCTCCCCCACGCCGTACGTCGTCAGCAGCGCCCCGAGACCGCGCACCCGCGCGTACCCGTCCGCGGCGTACCCCGCGCTCAGCTCGTTGCAGGTGCCCACCCATTTCACCCCGGCCGGCGCGATGTAGTCGAGCGCCCTGAGCGTGAAGTCGCCGGGCACGCCGTGGATGGCGTGCACGCCCTGCTGGCGCAGCCGCGTGAAGAGGTACTTGGCTACCGTGGTCCTGCCACCGTGACTCACCATTGGATTGAGGGGGGTGAATCTGCTCGTTTTCTCCTCAGACTATACATACAGAACAAGGCAAGCAGATTTGTTTGCGGATTGCCTGAAGACTTGAAAACTCCCCCTCCCACTTAAAAGGCGAGACGAGACGTAAATGCGAGGCTACGAGGTCTTGTAAGCAACGCGTAATGAACCACACGCATATCTGCAATCTCTTCGGTGCGTACCGGAAAATGAAATCTGGAGGCCCTAATGGCCAGACCACGGGCTGAGAGCGTAAACGCTGAGGTATGGTTTACGATTGTGGTATTGTAAGATGAGAAACCCAGCATTGACCGAGGTCCTCGAACCGGTCGTTCTCGTCACGGCCGCGGCGGGGCTTGGATTGCAGCCTTGCATCAAACAAGGCTGAGACGCCCTTTTGGGAGTTGCGGGTTCCAAAGAGACCAGACAGATTCGCAGTAAGATTACGAGGTACGCGCATAGAGACGGATCGATTCGTTGCAAGACAAGACTTTTTGCAATATTTTTCAATTTTTGTGTGTTCGAGGCTAATGTTACGAGCCAAGTGTTCAGATTTTCATTTCTGCCCAACAGTCGTGACAGAAGAGATACGCCATGCTCTCCGCCTTGAACCTCATTCAAGGTTACAAGTAAAGTCTGGGCCTCTCATATCATGACATCTTCCATCCCTGTTTCAGCATCACAGCTCCGTTGCTTCCACTCTAAATGGCCCCCTCAACGAATCGTGGGCCATGTTTCCTCGCCATGAGGATCATCCCACGAGCATGAACGCTCATGCAAATTCTTCGGGAGTCTCCCCGAGACGATGCGGCGGCGAAATATCTGCACATAGCTTGGCCTATGCAGCAGTTTTGAAACCCGGATTGAGATTATCGCAAGGGTTGTTTTTGTTTACCGGGTCGATCATACGACATGGCGTGATATGCTTCACAGCCTAAATAAGTGAGTCGAGAGCTGCTCGCGGGTACGGTTGAAGTAATAATGACATGTCGCCGTGTCAGGTTCCAAGGAAAATGGGCTTGAGATGGCCAGGTATCGTGAGTGCCGCTCGACAAATAGCGACCGGATGTGCAGGTAGATGAGATGGATTGTTGAGCCTTGTTTTGGGATTCCCAAATCCAATAAAGTGGTGCGATGAAGTTGATTAAAAGTTGTAGTAGCTCATTTTGTAGAGATACACCACCAATATCCATCGGCATCCTGTGCCGGACTGCCCTGCAATCGCTCGCTCCCAAACCCGATAGGAAATTTCGAATAGAGTAACATGGAAAGGTAATCATGAGTCGCTCGGGCAGTCGCTGAGGCCGGGTGCGGTGGGATAAAACCAGGCGGCGACCGCAATGATGATGTACAAAGTCATCAGCAAGATACCCTCAAGGTAATGTGACTTGCCGTCGCTAATCAGGTAGTTGACGAGTAGAACGGCCACGAACAAGACTGCGATCTGGAAGCCATCAAAGAACAAAGTCATATCGTCTTTGCCAATGATCCAGCCCAAAACAACCACGAATGGGAGTACCAGAAGTGCAATTTGCATACTGGAGCCGACAGCGACACCGATGGCCAAATCCATCTTGTCTTTCACGGCAACTGTGACGGCCGTTGCGTGTTCTGCAGCATTGCCGACGATCGGAAGTAATATGAGACCGACAAAATTTTTCGAAATGCCACCGCCGCAGGTGATGGCGTTGATTGAATCAACCAAGAATTCGGCGTTCAGAGCAACAAGGACCGTGGAGATTGTCAATGTCAGCACAGCAACCCAGATGGATAGTTGAGGTTGTTCAGGCTCATCCTCCACGGGCTCTGGAGTCTCGGCTCCTGGTGCTTTCTTAGAGCGGAGCTTATCAGGAATCACTGCATTCTTGAACTTGGTGCCCACGTCGCGCGTCTCATTCTTCGCACTAGGGGCGTTGTAGATTGCCGAGTGGCTTTTGAGTTGGAAAAAGAGGTAGCAAGCATAGACAATGAGGAGAAGGATAGCTGTGCCTCTGCTCAATTCTGCCACACCGGGTTTGGCGTTCTCGGTCGTAGCGGTCTCGGTGTTGGAGGTGCCATTTCCGGTTCGAGCCCATTGTTCAAAAGCGGTAGGGATAATCAGACTGCTGACAGCCAAGAAGAGCAAACTCGAGGCAGTCTGAGCCACTGTGATGTTGAAGGCCTGTTCCATGCGATTAACACCCCCGAAGAAAAAGCACATGCCCATGACCAGCAGAAGATTCGACAGCATGCTACCAATCAAAGAAGTTTGAACGATCAAGACTTGATCTTTCGCCAGAGCAATGATGGAAACAATCAGCTCGACCGCATTGCCAAAGGAGGCGTTAAGCAAGCCACCAAGAACTTCGCCGGTCCTCAAAGCAATCTCTTCAGTGGCATAACTCAACATAGCCGCCAAAGGGATGATGGCGATGAAGTTGATGACGAAAACGGCAACAGGATCAACATCGGCGTAGTTGACCGCAATGCCAACCGGCGAGGCAATGAGAAGGACATTGATCCAGGAGTTGAACAGTGTGGCCCGGATTTGACTCCACGCGGTGAATACTGGCTTGTCCTTGCCGTCGTCATCCTTCTCTTGTCTGGAGTCACGGCTGAAGATGGTCTTGATGCCGTGTTTCTCGACGTTTTTGTCGCCCGAAGTACGGTTGCGCAGCGAACCCCCCTCTTCTGTTTGACTGGGCTTGCCATATGTGTACGTGTCGCTGCTCAGCCCATCTTCAGTTCCCGTCCGAAACTCGTCTCCAAGACCTCTTTCCGAATTTGCTGGACTCAGAGAGCGAGGCATGTCGACTTGATTGCTAGGCGCATTGGGCGTTGTAGAAGATCTAGCATTTGGTGTCGTCGCCGCGTGTCTCACAGACGGATTCACTCCAAGTTCTTCACCCCTCTCTCTCGATGAAGAAGGCCGATAGTCATTGGGATCGTCGGTTCTGGTAACGGTCAGGGGCGAGCCATTACCGTCGCCGTTCTCAATGCGCCGCAACGTATTCGATCTGGAATTGGGTTTCCATTTCGCAAAGGGATTTCTGATGGGCAAATTGGCTTCGTCATTCGGATCATTGTACCACGCGGCAACTTTGGCCTGGTGGCGAAACTTGTCTGCGTTCTAGTTAGGACGCGATGCAAAGTCAATGGGGGTGTGCAGGGTTACTGACGCATTTTTCAGCACTCTAACCTCTGCGCTCTCCTGTTGAATGTCTCGGTTGTCTTGAAAGAGCGATATTGAACTGTGCAAAAGACCGCCAGATTTTTACAATACAGTGGTGTGGGTGGACAAGTATGGTCGGGATAGATGGGCCACAGGGTGGGATGTGTGGTCGCTGCCTTTTGAGATACGTGGGAGGATGTCAGAGGTTGCACAGCCCCAACATAACGCAGCAGGGAAGACTGACAAGCGGTAATGAGCGTTTGGCGTAACACTAGATGTGCAGTGAGGTGAAAGGATGATGATGGTGATGGTGCAAAACAGGGAATCGGGCAGAAATCAACAGTACCGAACCAGTCATTGAAAGGGGGCCCCTTGGCGAAATGAAGGGAGATTTGAGTGAATTGCAGGGCATGGTTCAGCTAGAGAGTGATCGGTAAACTATAGCAAACGCGGAATGCGATCTGAGGATGGGTAGGACCGAATAGTGTGGCTGTCTGTTTGTCTATGATGAAACAAGGGGTTTGGTATTCCTCTTCCTGGTAGGATACGGGGTGTACAGGATGTGGCGATGGTGGCGGAGGAAGCACGAGAAGCACCTAGGAAATAGACCAGGTACTGAAGGGGATGCCCATCGACACCCAATGCGCATGCACAATGACGGGGGACATGCCCAAACAACCCAATCTAATTTGTTCTCTTCCATTGTTCAGCGCCCCCAGTGCCTTTGGTAGCCACACCCGCTCCACTTCTACAGTCAAAGCCGGGCCTATGGATACATTTGATTCCCCCCATTAGCGCCACCCGAGATGTTTGTGGTGCCTGGAGGCCCCATTTTATTCCGGGCGCCGATCCCAGTCCAGTGTCATTCTGTTTTTCTAGGACGTGAATGTCACAGGGGGCTCAATCGCATTACACTCTCTTTTGGGCTAAATCTGCGAGACAGTTTCTTGTAACAAAAGCAGGTGAGATGTAAGATTCCTGCGATTCCTCTTGGATTCTTTACCCTGGTTGAATGGTTTGAAGCTTTAGCCTTGTCCGTTTGGCGGGCTGGGCGTCATCCAGGTGGGAATTGCTTGGTTGTTCTTAGGCATTCTTGGACACGCTTGAGGCATCTTGGTTAAGCTTGAATCAACTCGGACTGTCAGCCCACAAGGACGACATGGTGAATGCTGTGATCATCTTATACGCCGTAACGGACACAATGCCAGATCGATATCAAAAATTCCTTACTCACCACCTGAGTGTAATCAGATTACCTCGTACTCGGTACCACAACTCCCGCTTTCAGTCTTTTACTGGTGTGCCTGGCAAATAATCAGCCACACGCACAGCCGCACCGCCACGTCCCTCTCACTTTTCTTTTGCCTAAGATTACGAACCATGACCAGATACTCTCTAGGCAACACTTACGAATGTCGCACTTCCAAGACCTCCCAATTCACCGACCACTGTCTAAAGGCCAGGCTCCTGTGTATCGGCGCGTCGGCGTACCGGCGCACCCCCTCACGTGCTAGTGTACGGCGTATGCACCCCAATGACTCGCGCGCTTGTCACGTGTCAGTTGCTCATTTATCAGGTGCAGTCACGTGCAAGAGAAACTCGAATTCATCCATCTCGAAGCTCAAATACTTGCTTCACTCTATTTACAAAGAGCACATTTACGCCCAACCTACAGCAGAATTCTTATATATTCAATGTAGGTGGAATCAGGTGTCACAACCGGAATGGCATTTTCTCTGTGTTTCCCTTCGAGATTTTCCTCTTCTGCCGAAGATGTGATTCGCTGGTTACATCTACCCTAGGTGACCGGATTGATTTCTTCTGGCATGGCTCGCATTGTAGTAAATCGGACAGTCAACGCGGCGCCATGTCTAACCACCAGAACCTTTCTGAGTTCTTTCTTGGAAATCTGGGGAAAACAGGGATTGGAGCGCGACCAGAGGAGACCGGTCCCAATAGGTTTGCTCTACCATCATTTGGACGGGACTCTGCTGATAGATCCAGGTGTATGCGTCAGCGGAGGCCCCGACTCTATGGCGTTGGCATACTTGCTCAATGAGATGAACACAGTGTCTGGAAAGCACAATGTTTCCGTCCAACCATTCGCCTTCATCGTCAACCACAAGGCTCGTAGAGAAAGCACCGATGAAGCCAACTACGTTCAATCTCAGCTACGCCGTCTTAGTATGTCTCTCGAACTCTGAACAGAGCCGCGCTTACGGTCCCAAGGCATTGAAAGCGAAATCCTCGAAATCCAATGGCCCAACAACATTGATCCAGCGAATACCGCCGATTTTGAATTGAGGGCTCGGCGAGCACGGTATCGGCTGATTGCAGATGCAGCGATTCGGAAGAAGATCCCCCATCTTTTTTTGGGACATCACCAAGACGACCAAGTTGAAACAGTCCTGATGCGTCTCGTGCGCAATGCTGGGACATCATTTCTCGGGTTTCAGGGCATGTCAGAGCATAGCACAATACCGTGCTGTGAGGACATTAGGGGAGCAAACGAAATTGAAAGCTACGAGAGATTTGCGCGGTGGCTAAACCCACACGACCCGCGAGTAAATCCAGAGACAATGAACTCGAGGCTCATCAACCAAGGGAAAACTGTGACGCCTTCTGTGCCGGGCGGGCTGCGGATCCACCGACCACTTCTGTCGTTTGCAAAATCTGTGATCATTGACTTCTGCAACACAAATCACGTCCCACATGTCCAGGATAAGACAAATTATGATCCTACACTGACACTCCGGAATGCTGTGCGGTATATGAGGACCCATTACACCTTACCCAAAGCCTTGCAAAGACCCTCCATCCTCTCACTTCAACAGTCGTCCTGGCGCTTTGCTACTTCCCTTGCGGCACGAGGAGAAAAGATCCTTGAAAAGCTCAGAGTGCTTACCTTCGACCTGCGGTCCGGTCGTATGACTGTACGAGTATCGCCTGCTTTTATCTCTCTGTGCGAGTTGGATTCTGAAGCTGGAGCATATGCTTTGGCGAGACTGACAAGTGTGGTGAGCTCGCAGTCGAGAGATGAAGAGCCGACTCTTGTACCTCGGCATAACCTGAGGCAGTTCCTGGACAAGAACCGATCTCGATTGCGAGAGTGGGTGACCGTGCAGCAGGTGTTACTCGAGAAGTCAAGCACTGGGCTGGATGTGAGTGACCATACGGCGACATCCGGATTCCGAATGGAACGGCAGAGCGGGTTTAGCGAGAGCTTTTCCGATTATGAAGGGACGGTATGGACGCTATCACGTCCACCATTACGTCTGGCGGAAATCACACGTACATCAAGGAGCTTTTGCCTTGACATCCGACCAGGCAAAGTCGACAATGAGGGTGCGGGTCCAATCCCCCAGTTGGAATGTGCTAAGAACTGCAACCAGACAGGGTTTTGGTCCCAGTGGATGCTTTGGGATCATCGATATTGGGTGCGTGTACGGACAAAAACTGCCGAAACGCTTTCCCATATCCGCATTCGCACTTATTGCGAGTCCGACGTACAAAGTGTGTACACAAGGCTCAAGGATAGGGGCTCAGAGCTTCAGTCCATTCTAGCAGAAGCAGGCCCAGGAAAGTTGAGGTTTACAATTCCCGTGCTGACAGTAGACGGAAAAGTTTCGGTGTTTCCGACATTGAATGTCGTCGTGGGGGGAAAGGACTCAATGCATGTTGACTCTGGACTGGCAGATCACTCAATCCTTGAATGGGAAGTCTGCTATAAGGTCATCGATCTGCCAATCATCAATGACCATCGGGAAATGATTCATTGGATGAATGCGCAGGTAAAACGCCACAAGTGAGCCAGTGTCTCTGTTAGCGATTCCGCGAAACCAACTGAGAGAACACACACTTGATGATCCCCCGCGGAACCGAAAACTGCTTGAGGAGTACGCTCGAACATATCCAACCTTCTCATAGAGACAGTCTACCAGCACCACTATCAGTCGGACAAGATACCTGGCACTATATTGTTCGACGTCGCTATCTCGGAAATACCCCAAGAGACAACTACAGGAATCGGTGGATGATGAGCCGGCGGATGACCGTGAGACTGATGCAAAGCACCCGGCTAGACGAATGCTTTGGTAGATGTTGACGAAGCTGAGGCATGGACGCAGTGGGTGCCAGCCACCCAGCCAGCTGGTGTCCAAGATGCTGACATGATGTCCGAGAGAATGCCGAATGGTGGACTCTGTGCCACCGGAAAGCTGCGAGATGATTGCTGGTCATTCGGGAGGATCATACTTGGTCTTCCCCACACGGGGTCTTTAGGCGTCGTCACGTCAATCCACCAGACGCGGAGAGGAGGTGGAGATAGTGGCCTCGGCCATTGGCGAAGTCTATATATCTCGAATTTGCCGCCGTTGCGCCGGACCGAGCGTTGGCTCAATCTCAGTTTCTCATCAACAGTATCAGCAGCACAATGGCAACTCAGGCAGTCCCCGAAGCGCTGACGGCGCCAACACAAACGTTCAAGAATGTTCCCCCATTCCCAGAGGATGTGCCGACCGCACCCCTCCTACGCCTGTCTCTGGCCAAACTGCTTGACCGTGATCCTGAAGAGGTGAACCGGTTCGTGCGAGCCTGCGAAGACCTCGGATTCTTTTACCTAGACTTGACTGGGCCAGGAGACTCTTTGCTCGCCGATGCAGATCAACTTTTCAAGGTTGGGGAGGAGTTGTTCGACCTTCCACTGGACGAGAAAAAGCAGTATGACTTCCAGAAGAAGGGGTCGTACTTTGGCTACAAAGGGTTTGGTGCCAATGTGGTTGACCGAGATGGCAATCTCGACCGCAACGAGTTCTATAATGTGAGTTGAGTCAGGACCCTGGTGAATACGAGATGAATCCTGATCAACATGCAGGTATCCAAAGATGACTTGTTCGGGATCATGGATCCGATACCTGCTCCTGAAGTTCTCAGCTCACGACGGCCCCTTTTGAAATCCTTCATGTCCTCAGCTCATGGGATTGTCACACTGGTGCTAGAACTGCTTAACGACCACCTCAGACTACCACCCAATACATTGCAAGGCATGCATCGGCTCGAGGGCCATGCGGGGGATCAGGTTCGTTTTATCAAAGCTCCGCCTCAGCCTATGGACGACAGACGGACCGCGTTGGGTGAGCACACCGACTTTGGAAGTGTCACGGTCCTCTTCAATCGGTTGGGTGGTCTGCAGGTCCTTCCCCCAGGACGAGACGCACAATGGTGCTACGTAAAACCCCTCCCTAACCACGCCATTATCAATCTGGGCGACGCAATGGTAAAATTCACAAACGGCCTTCTCCGGTCCAACATACATCGCGTGGTCTCCCCACCCGGCGAGCAGGCAGACCACACCCGATACTCCCTGGTGTACTTCAACCGACCAGAGAATGACGTGTTGCTGAAGCGGTTGGAGGGCAGCGAGATGATCCCCCCATTGGATGAGGGCACAGTTGAAGAAGAGATTAATAGCAAAGACTGGATCTTGAGACGAGCACTGGGTCATCGTATTGAACTGTTTGGGAACGATGCTTCGAACTTCGACAAAATCCAAGGGACGGAGAAGATCAGCCAACGTGCGTACCTGTAGAGTCTGGATGGGTGTGGTTATGACGAAGTGGGAGTCATTCGGTTATGTGTATGAGCCATGTTGCTCAGTGATTCATGTCAATAACACATATTTGAGTCTATTATTCACGGTGACTCAGACATTGTAGGCTGTGAAGTGAATGGAGTCGTCAATCACAATGAATCGTGATGGTGTCTCCAAAAATGTCGGGCCTCGACCCAAAAGGGGTTTAGCCTCCCTGCGCACAATAGAGAAATTTCGATGATTTTTCTCACTTCGAAGTTGTAATTATTGTTCATTGTTCACCAACGATTGATTGCATTGGGCCAAAAGCCTGGTGCGTCAAGCTCCAATCTTCAGGTCAACCATACTTGCTGCATATTCGTATTCGTTCGTCCACATTACTACGTCTCATGTGTCGAAAGAACACCCCCATTTACATCTGCCTACACGGCCATGTTAACCCCGCCACCTCAGGCCCGTCGGCCTGTTCTACCGGCCAGCATCTCGACTCCTTCGCTTCCTTCAAAAACCATGAGACCCCAACCTATGCAACGGAGATCAACCCTGAAGCGGTCAATCGATGAAACCAGTTTCATGGAGACGCCTTCAAGTCCCTCCAAACGCTCTCGCGTGACCTTTGATTCCGACGTCGAGATTGTGTCCGCAGACGATGATGAGGACCTGGATCCCCTGGTGGTCAAAGAGCAAGTGCGGAGAGCCATTGAAAGACATCGGTTTAGAGAAGACGAGGCATACGAGCGTGTGAAGGGCTATTTCAATGCCTCCCCGGACAAACCAAACGCACCCTCCACCAAGGTGCTCAAATTTCACCTTCAGGCTCTCCTGGCCAATGTCACGTCACTCGACAAAGACTGCAGCGGCTTAGTCGATGCAGTCCTGAATAGCGAGTGGGTAGGACGGGATGATCAGTACTATGCAATTTTTGTCAGATTCCTCAACAACCTGGCTGCGGCGCAACGCGGCTATCAGCGCAAGATCATGTCGGTCCTGGTTGACCTTTTGGGGCCTCAAAAGACACGGCGCATCGACAGCTCAACCCCCGTCAGACAACCAAAGATCCATCGACGAGTTCTGCAAGCCATCCAACACATCACCGTCAACGTCCCTTCATCACCTGCCGCTCTGGCCGATCGTGTCGCTTCCCGACTCCAGTTCGATTTTCAGAAGGCTGAGGAGCGCATGACGTACATACGAAATTTTATGGAGATGATCAAACATGTACCCGAGCTCACATCGGAGATTCTGACATGTGTCTTGCGAGAACTCATCAAGCTTGACGTTTCGGTTCAGGTTGATCTCGATGACGAAGAGGAGGATGTCGAAGACGATTTACTTACCCACATGTCGTCTTCGCAAACACTGGTTGCGCGCTCATCTCAGGACATGATGGCTGGCGGGCTCGATGATCAAAGTGATGATCTAAGCACCAGTGATGAATCAGAGATGGATGAAGACGAAGATACTGACCCGGCTGTCGCTCGTCGCCGTAAACTGAAGGAGGATATCAAGCAGATTGACCTGATTATGGACATTCTGTTCCAATACTACGCCAAACTCACAACTTCTGCCGCCCTCCAAACCCGCGATAATGCTGTTGAGCAGCTTATCTCTCAATTTCACACTCACATCCTTCCGACATATCGGGCGCGGCATCCGCAATTCTTGGTCTTCCACTTTGCCCAAGCCGATCCTATCATTGTCGATCGCTTCGTCACATCCTGTGTCGCTGTTCTTGTCGACAAGAAACAACCGCATCTCCTTCGACACAGCGCCGCCGCCTACTTTTCGGGATTTGTTGGCCGTGGTGCCCATGTCTCGCCGCAGGTGGTGCACGATTGCTTGGATCTGCTCTGCGACCATCTGACCATCTTGCGAAAGTCATACGAGCCCACATGTCGCGGTCCCGACCTGAAACGCTATGGCGATTTCTATGCCGCCTTCCAAGCAATTCTGTACATCTTTTGTTTCCGCTGGCGAGACATCGCCTCTGCCAACTCCGACGACGAATCCGACATTGATGTCGACGAGGATGAGGCCGAGACGTACCATTTTGCCGAGTCACTCCGTGAGTCACTTCGGGCGGCGATCTACTCCCCACTCAACCCATTGCGCGTCTGCACCCCGGTCATTGTCGAGCAATTTGCCAAGCTGACGCACGCCTTGCAATTATTCTACGTCTATCCGAAGCTCGAAGAGAATAGACATGTGCGAGTTACTGGCCACTGGCGCGGCGTGTCCGATTTGACTATCAGCAATCCCGACCGGGATTTGAGCTGGGTTGGAGACAATGGGATGTTGGAGGGGTATTTCCCCTACGACCCGTACCACTTGCCCATCAGCAAGCATTGGATCGAAGGAGATTACGTTGAGTGGAAAGGTATTCCTGGGGAGGAGGCCGAGGACACGGATTCTGAAGATGACGCGGGCATGGATGTTGGGGGAGTCGACGAGGATGACGATCTTGATCATGACTCAGACGACGAGTGATCTGGTCATGTGCGCGTGGACTTGATCTGCCTATCCACTTGCTTTGTCTCTTTATGTCATGGTTTCGCAACGCACCGAGTATTTACAGCGTCACGAGAAAAACGGCCTGTCTCTTTTCGCAAAAGGGAAAGGGGAAAGGGAAATGGCGTTGGAATTGTGTTTGTTCGGACTGTCGCGTTCAAGCGTGCTTTTTGAGGAGCTACCCATATCTTTCTTTGCATACACCCCAAAAGTCGGAGTTGGTATGGCTGGACGGGACGAAAGAGTTTTTTGTTCATGTATTGTCCGAAATGGTTCCAAAAGAGAGAAAATGAAGGATGAAGATGAAAATGACAAAAGTCCAAAAGTCTAATCTAGAAGTTTGAACGAATTGACAGATCTTGAATTTCGTCTGGCCTGTCTGAAAGAAGTCATCGCTGTAACGAGGGATAACTATCGAGTAGGAGCGGGTGACTCGTAAGACGTGCCCGGGAATTGCGTTCATAACGGATTTGTTCTGACCTGATCTGGCCTGGCCTGGCCTGGCCTGGCCTGACGTAACCTCGCCACGGTCAACGAAATATTACGTGGTCTATATGTTGATACAGTTCAGTACCTAACAGCCATAGGAGAAGTCGTGTGATATGGCAATGGAATAGAACGAATATAGTAGAGAGTAAAATGCGAGTCGTAGAATGGAATGCATCGAGTGAAATGATAATGAATGATACTGCGTGATAATCTGAATAATGCTCAACCTCCCAAACAAACCGGGCTCGAAAGGAATCAGTAGCAGGGTATCTTTTTTTTTGGTGAAGTTGTATACTTGTACGAGCATGAGTATACACCAGGATTCGCGGAGATGTGATATTGACGTGATACAAGATATTGACGTTTTATGATATGGCAAGATGTGATATAACCCTCACGAGTCGAGACAAGACACGATATGACGAGAGACAACGAGACGTGAGAGCCAGCTCAGTCCAGCTCAGACGCCGCCCCTCCTGAACCAGGCCTCCAAGCCCGTCTTCCACGCGCA